GCGTTGGGAGGTACGGGAGTAGACATCCGTATAGAAAAAGAGGTGGAATCCGTTGAAACGATGCCGCGGCAGAGAGGATGGAGCGCGCCTTCGGTGTCCGGCTACCAAAACCTGCGTGGGGACGTCACTGAAAACACGCTGGAGTGAGATTTTGGCGTTTTTCATTCATCTCCTAACGACGCTAAAACCATACTTTATGCACTGCAGGTGTTTTTAGTCGAGTGGGCAACCAAACTTATTTTTTTCCTCTGTAAACGGCTACACTGGATGTGCTGTTCAGAAGCGATTCAGAAATTCTCACATAGCCGCGATAATTCATGTGCATTTATTAATGGGAATTACCCCTCTAGTGTCAAGTACGAGGTAGCTTTTTCTCCTCATAACTGAGAGTAATTTCTCCATTTCCAGAAAAATGCTATTTCAGCTTATATGATCAACCAACCTAGTGAAGAGACATTGTCTTCTCTAGTTCTTGTTTAACGAAGCAGCAAAAGACGTGTTGCATTTGAATTCTCTGTGTTATAGGAAGAAGATCACTGTTAAATTACACACTATTTCTTACAGCTTTAAATAGCTTTTGCCAACTCAGCTATTAAATTAGATGCTTGGGAGAGTGTTAGATTTTGTGTTTTCTCTCCCCAGGACAAGTTTTTATCTGATGTTTGGTTTTTTTTTCTGTGTATGATGAGATGAAACCTCTTGAACACTGAAGTCCAAACCCATGAAGGTTCATAAAGACTCCTCACAGAACTTGTCAAAACCGAGCATTTGTAATACCAGCAGTTTTTAGTACAACAGCAAAACAACGAAATGTTTGAATCCTGAGATTTTTCACAGAGCTGGACTAATCTCCCTTAAGTCTTAATGAAATACAGCTTCCAAAAGAAAGAAAAGCAGATAAGGCTTGAGTGCATCAGGGAAATGTAGCACATACTACAATGAATTTATTTTTTTTTCTTTTCGTGTATCTTTCTCTTATCAAGAGATATTTAAGTATTCACATACATCTTTTCCAACCTAAAGCAGGACCCATAACTACTTGCATTATTTAAAAAAAAAAAAAAGTTTGCTCAGAAAGCCACACCCCTAATGGAAGATGGGGAAACGTAACAAATCTGGTCATTTTAACAGTGCGTGGTTCCTTCCCTCCACAGCGATGCATAGCGGGATATGCCTCTGCGTGCTCCTCGCTGTGCTCTCAGCCGGCTCTTTGGGCCAGCAGACGGTGGGCTCACACGATGGGAACCCGCCGGCTGCCGAGCTTGAGAAGAGCTTGACAGAACATCACCGGCACCTCCGCTCCCCTTCCTCTGCCGGACCCCTGAAATCCACGCCGCGGCTGGAGGGAAGCGTCGACCAGCGAGCTCACCTTGGTGCTTTGTTGGCCAAGTACCTCCAGCAAGCCCGAAAAGGTACCTGTTACAGCCCACCGGCATCTCCTGAGGGGTTAGAGTAACCCTGTCATCATCTTACGTGAATTTCCAGAGGGTGTAAGATTTTGCCTGGTTGCTCCTGAGGCACAGAGAGCTCTCTTAGTTACTGCAAAACTCTCCCCCCTCAAAAAAAATCTGTACATGGCAGCTACTGCCTGAGAGCTACGTACAATTAACTGAAGGAAATGTAACCTAGCTGCCACCTCATAGTTCAAGCTTTTAGTTTTAACTTAAGTGTTTTCATAGCCTTACAGTTATTTTCGGTATTATTTTCAGCATGTATCTCGGGTTGAATACAGCAACTGCATTTTCTTCCAACTTTTTAATTTCGTTAACCTCCTCCCTCCATTTATTAAGTTAGAAGAGCAGGAAAACTTCTCCCGAGGACAAATCCAGACCAAATTGCTAACCTCACCACAGACAGAAATACCTGTAGTACCAGAAAAACCTTCCGAGTACTGGATTTTCTGTGTATTTGCTCTAGAGCAAGTCGCAAAAGCAGGAAAGCTTTTGAAAGACCAGAATTCATGTTCACAAACGCAGTAACTCAAAGCAGTCATAAGTAAGAGCAGATTTGCTTCAAAATATGTAGATTCCCGTTAGGTTTTCAGTCTCGGGCAGGTTGGGAACACAGTTTTGCCTTTAACACTTTACTAACGGAAAGGGAATTCAGATGTGAAGCTTGGCAATTTGGTGCTACAGTTAAAGCTGTTACTGAATAAGAACGTTACTGCCGGAGCCTACAAAGCAGAATTCTCACTACCTTTCCCCAGCACAGTTATTATCACCCACCTACACGGAAGCTGAACTCCTCATTCTAGCCTATGCAGCCCTTATGTTCTCTTAAATACCTGGCTGACATTTCCAAATAGCTTAGCCAGATGAAGTTAAAAAAAACCAAAAAACACCCCCAAACCACTTTGGATTCAAGATGTCTTTTTTGGTAAGTAAAAGCGTGGCTGGTGGAGGTTTTTTTTGGTACCTTTAACTGCCATTCCCCTGCAACTGCTAACAAAACAATGCAGCTGGTTTTTATTGTTTTTAATGGATCTCGTTCACTGTAAATCATTTCATGAAGGAAAGCCTTGGAATATAAAAGTACAAAATCACCAAGGGCTCCTTCAAAACACAGGAAACCGTAAGCCGAGACAGTTGTGTGGATCTGGATTTCTGAGGTTTGATTTGGGTTTTCCCCTTTTTGATCGGTTCAAGTATCCCTCAAGCCTCAGCCTGCACTGACTACTGATACACTGAGTCTGTTCCCGCCTCACTCAGGGCTCAAGCTCAACCTAATTGTCAGCATAATATATCGATTTTGGCTGTATTCAGGGAGCATAGAGAGAGGCAACTTACTTTTCCCCACGTTTTTAATTACATAATGTGACGATGTCAAAACAGAAGCTTTGGATAAGCCATGAAAGTATCACCGACATCGTAATAAGCCCTGTAACAATTCCAGCAATAGAGATCTCTAGCTATAGATTCCACAACTTTGTCCATTTCAGGACTATTCCCACTTCTCCACAAAATGGGATTCCTAACTCTACCCCGCCTGTTATCGAATTCTCTAGTGAAACAGGAAGGTAAAAAAGAAGAAACGCACCCGTATTCCTTCCTGGCAGCCAAGTGAAGAATGCTCCTGCGGCGAGAGGGAGAAAATTATATTTTACAATCAAAAAGCAAACCCCGAGACACTTTCAGGATATTACCCATCCTGTTTCTATATTTTCCCCCATGACATGACAGTGGTGTGACACGACAGTGGTGTGACACGGTCTGCATTAAGTCAAAAGAGTCTCAGCTGTTGCTAATGAGCCAAGAACAGGTAAGAAAACGGATGAACCTGAAAAATGTGTCCTCTAACCCTCTGCCTCTCCCAAATCCTTTCTCTTTAGGTCCCACTGGAAGGCTCTCAGTTATGGGCAACAGGGTACAGAGCTTTGACCCCACACACAGGATAAATGACAGAGACTACATGGGCTGGATGGATTTTGGACGCCGCAGTGCTGAAGAATATGAATACTCTTCCTAAAGAATGGCAAGCTATAGCAACAGGAAAAAAAATTAAAAAAAATCACACTCCCATGTCTGGACAGAAAGAGAAAAATTAATCTGTCGTCCTTTTCCAATCAGTGTTTTAAAATATATCATGTATTTGATGTAAATTTATCTGTAAGACTATACAATGCAATATATACATACATAGAATTTTCCAGGATATGTTTTTCTTTCTTTTGTGGTTTCTCATACATTGATATTATATTAAAATGATTTCACTTACCCCTTCTTGTCCTGTCACTGCCTCTTTCTGGGTGTCTCAATAGCTGTTGCCCACTGGCGTGGGGAGGAGGGAGGTTTGTGCCCAGTCCTTTGTGGAGCTCATCTTGAAAACATGGAACCGCTTTTCTGCATGAACTTTTCTTCCTCCCAAGCTCCTTCCAGTGAACCGGTTTCCAAACCACCTACTCCGACATTTTTCAACTCTTTTCCAGGTTTAGTGAGTCCCTAAAGACCTGAATTCTCACCTTGGTGTTCACTACTGCCCACAGGAAAACACCCTGAATCACTCATTTCCCCAAAACTTTCAAGTAAAAGATTAAAATCAATTCATTGATTTTTTTTTCAAACTGAGCAAAATACAAATTAACCTAACAATGCATAGATTAAAACACATTCCATCAAAATGATATTTAAGAGTAACTTGGGAGAAAACAAGGTTTCTACTTTGCTGTCTTTTATATAAATGACAAGAACATTCAAAACTAACATTTAAAAGCGTTGCTTTCCCTAGCTTGTTTAACAAAGGATGTAAAATTGTGATATTGCAGGGTGGGTGATGTTACAAATCTTGTCATTACTGCGGGATGTTGTCATTAGGAAAAAACAGGCTCTGAGGGATTCGCGGCCCTTGGAGCTACCCGGGTTGTGCCTTTCCATGTCTCCCACAAGTGAGTAACTTCCCAGGGGCAAAGCAAAAAGCCACCCCCACCGCTGCCTTGGACCAAGCATTTGCTCATTTTACGTCACAAGGTAGGTTCGCCTGTGAAATCTCCCTTCTGAAAGCACAGGAACAAGCTGGAAGATTTATCCCTGTAAAAGAACAGGAAAAAAAAAAAGCCAAGTGATACCCAACAAAGCATCTTTTCTGTTATTTTATTGATATTAGTGAAGAAAAATTTAAATTTCATCTTTCTGAATTGTTACAATTGCTTTCTCCGGTGGGTGGACAGCTCTTACCGCTTATTTAAAGGCTAAATAATACTTCCCGATTGCATGACTAACTTTTACACTTTAAGTTCCCATATGGTATTGCTTTCTTCCTCTGGGTATATAAAATGGTCCATTAAGTCTATGATTTTTTTTCAGAATCAGCTGTTATTCTACCTACTGTTTTAAGATACATTCAAATAAAAGGATACTTAAATTTACTTGCAATAAGTGCACACATACAACAGCAAAGAGAGCTGATGACATTTTACTAAACATTGTAAGTTCATAGAATAAATAGAAGTCTTCAAACACATGCAGTAACTCACTGATGTGTTTTTTTTTCTTTCTCAAAAAAATATGTTCAGTGTCCATAGCACTACCCCAATAACTACTTCACTCAGGAAAAAAACAACCAACCAACCCACCCACCTATCTCTCCTCACAAAGACTAAAAAGACAGCTTCATTTATACAGGAAATGATCAGTGCTAAGGATTTAGTAACAGTCTGGTACAAACAGCGATTCACGGCAATCACGTGTAGTGTGGTAACGGTTACACAGGGGGACTTGGGGTGAGATTCCCCAAGAAGTGCAAGGAAAAAAAAAACCCCAGATGTTAAACCCTCCTCGTGTCACTCCTCTTCATCCTCCCCTTCTAAAAAAAAAAACATTCTCGCTCAGCTCTAGAAACAAGCTCCCTCTATTCTTTTCCAGTTCCAGGATATTTCAACTCTTTCTACAAGCACCCAGCAGAAGTTTGGGAGAAAGGCAGAGGAAAAAACTGCAATTTAAATTAGGATCTCCTGGCTGAAACTAAAGGTTATGTGTTTTGATTCCTTTCTGGAAAAGTGGGGGCTGATTGTTTGGCACCAGGAGGCATTTTTCCCTTTGTAAAACCACCATGACATAAAGCGTTTCCTATTTACCTATGCTGACATCCAACTTTGGACAAAAACAGTGTCTCTGAAAAAAAAATTAATAAAAAGTGGCTGGGTAATATTCTCACTCTGCTTACAAGGCCACTGGCCTGGCCCTGCATGAAACCTGGAGATCAGCGTGAGGACTGGGAACTGCTCTTTCCAGCTTGTACCATCCCGTTACTAAATTTTTTTTTTTGGTGGTTCTCTGCAGAGGTTTCAAGGATGCACCTTCTCCTTACACTGGATTTTGCTACATGTTCTTTTATAACATTCTTATCTGTCAATCTGTTCCGCAACTTTGACTTCTAGGAAGCTGCTGCCGCGTTTACCTCACAAGCTGTGAAGACCGGCCTTCTTTAGGGGCACCCACAAAGTGCGTTCCCGCGGCAGCAACACACAGTAAAGCATTTTTCCCTTCCACGATCCAGTGCAGCATTGAAAAACAAACAAACAAACAAAAACTAAAACAAAAGAAACCCAAAAATAAAACAACAAAAAAAGTCACACAGAGAGTGAGCGTGCCAAATGGAACAGTGGTGGGGGGGGAGGAATATCTCAATATTCCATGTACCCAGTAAGCCCGCTGACCTCAACACAGCATTAGTTCAAGTTTATCATCTCGGGGAGGAGGAGAAAACAGAACAGGGGAAGAAAAATAATAAAACAAAATGAAATAAAATGCAGTTTCATCCATTCGGGCGCTACAGCCAGGCACTCCAATAACTCAGCTCAACTCATCTACAGAAGCAAAATCAAAACTACCGCGTGTTAAACTGAGTGCTTTGCTCGGCGTTTAACGAAGCACAACTGCTCCCATGCTTCAAGTGATGTAAAACGCGAGGTCTCACGTAACACATTCAATAGCTTCCCATGCACCTTTGACTCAAGTTAGGCTAGCTACAGAATTCATGGTCTCCTAGTCAAGCTATTTCTTGTTGGTTTTGTTTTTTTGTTGGTTTTTTTAAGTGCATCTTAAAAAAAAATACAACCTTTTCAAAAGGTTAGCAAGTTAACCTTAATATGGCAATCATAACGTAGAGCCTTTTGCACTCGATTGAATGGTAAAATAAACCAATTAGTTACAATAGATCTGGTACATATTTACAGATTTTATACAAAGTTTACACATCTCTCCCATTAGGCACGAAGTTGTTTTGTCAAACTCAAGAGGCAATGAAGGGAAGGTTTGGGAAAGGAAGGTCGGAGAAAGCATCTGAGTATTTTTGTGTAAAAAGACTAGCTGTAAAAACCAGGTCCTTCATCGTAAGCTAGTTTGCTTGGGGAGCTTTGTTCCCATGAGGATCCCCGAGGTGAGAGACGTGGGGCCTTTCATCTGCATGCTGGAACCCACCATGGTGGGGAAGCTCCGGTTCCTGCGGATGCCCGTGTTGAGCTGGATGGCCCCGACGGCACTGGTGACGGCTGGGCAGCCCAGCGGGAGCCCCTCTGGTGCCAGGCCTCCAGGAACAAGGGTCCTCACCGGTCCTTGTGCCCCGCCACAGCGAAGAGGTCCCTGGTCATCAGTTAAAGGAGGAGCTGACACTTGCCCTGGGCTCACGACTTTGGCGATACCGAACCTCTTGACTTTGTCCACGAGATTAAGGTTGGAAACAGACACGTCGGTCTGGCTCTCGCTGTTCCTGATGTTCTTTTTATTCCTCACCTCCTTCAAGATGGAGCTGGCGGGCTTTGAAGCCAAGAAGTTGTCGTAAGGTGGGCTGGTGCACTTGAACTCAAAAGACGGAGGGGACGAAGAAGGTGTCTGCATAGGCGAGTTGGGCGGAGTGGAAGGAATGATGGCCATTTTCGGGGGGTACATGCTCAGGAGGGTGCCTCTGCTGGCTCTGTCCCAGCTCTGCGAGTTGTACACTGCTGCTGAGATGCCCCTTTCCTTCAGCAGCCACACCAGCCCCAGGGACGTGCTCATCGTTGTGGTGGATTCCCGGAGGTTTGTGAAGGATTCGGCCAAGCTCAGACGCCGAGGGGTGCAGGGGGTAGCCACCGGCGTGCCTTTCAAATTGCTAATGCTGCCACAAGCTGGAGTAGGTGCTGCGTTAAGGCTGAAAGTAAAGTAGCAGGCAAGTTACAACTTACTGCAAGTGGGACTTTTTCTTAACCCTGAATGGGTTACGAAGTCTTAAGTCACGTCTTCTTTCCACAGCTAAACAGGATCTGACCAACGTGATCTCTTCAGCTGTACTGACTTCTACCGAAAGCACACAAAACTGCCAAAGGATTTTTAACGCTGCAGCTGCAATCCTGGAAGCGAAAAGCAGTGACAGCCACCGGGATGCAACCCCCCCACTGACTCAACACAGGAGTCTTGAAAAGCAGGAGGGAGGGAAAAGAAAAAGAGAAAGAGAACTAGCTCCATGAACTGACTTTCTATGGGGTAGGACCACGGACATTTGGGAAACTCAGACTCAAGGTTTATTATCAGGCTTTTAAGATGCCCTAGTCACAAGATGAAAGCTACAGCACGACAGCTTAACTTCAACGTTCTTTCCAGATTTCAGCTGCACAGATATTTAGATTAGTATTTCTACTACTTTGCCAGCATATGCACACACTACAGTGCAATTAAAAAAAAATAATAAAAATATATCTCTGCAAAAAAGCAGTTATTATGTAGGTGTTGCGCGCTTTTTTTGTTGTTTGCTTGCTAATTTGGTGTTGCTTTATTTAAGCGGGAACTATTTTCCGATCCAAATGACAGATAGTGCAGAGTAGCCTGGCCACAACCACTGAAACCAAGTCAAACCGAACTCAGCCCTGTGACAGTCCCAGAGTTAGATCAAGGACGAAAATAAATGAGTACCTCTGGATGAAATTTAGTCAGGTTAGACAGTTGCCTGGGTTAAGAGGCAAGGTTAAAACGCAACTGGGGAGGTAAAGATCAAACCTCTCAGGGTTAGCCGGTGCCACACACACGAGCATTCCTGACGCGCGCCCCCGCCGAGGCTGCGGGCAGCGCTGCTCACCCCCTGCCACGCCGGCTCACGGCGTGTGCCCTATCCCTCCTCTCAGCACAACGAGGCACAACGCGGTTTCCTCGTCCTCCTCACACGACCTGCGGAGAATTGTGTACAGTCGGTAAAGGAGGAGTTCCTCGAACTTATTTTGCTCTTTTCCTCTGCCGAATGAATGGTGACCTCTGACACCTGAGAACATACTGAGGTTTGCTCTCAGTTGTGGCTGATTTGTTAAATTTAGGGGTCAGCATGATTATTATCACCGCTGTTAACTGCAATTCAACAACAATCAGAAAATCAAACTAGAACCGCGGCCATCTAAAAGGATCTCCTTGAGGGGAGAGGAAGACAGAAGAGAGTACAGAAAAAACAGCCAGGCCACAACAAACTTAGCTCAGAAAGGGAAGCAGAAAAGTTACACTCAACGGTCACCCATCTCCTTCCCACCGTGCAGGATTTTCATATTTATTACCCTTCCTTTTTGTGCCCTCTTTGGGTGGTCAGTGTCCATCTTGCATCCTAAACAAGCCCAGATTGCACAACATAAATGGTTCCCGGCTTTTCAGTAAGACATATTTCTTCCTCATGTACTTCCCCGATTCGTTATTTGCGCATCCCTTTTTCTTCTGCACTGAAGATTTGAGGTTTTTTTCCCTCCACAGAAAAATTCTGTCTCATATTTTTTTTAGAGAGACCACATTCTATGCCTTCACACAAAAGGACTACAACTACTTTGGGATCAAGGATAGTCACATTTGGAAAATACACGCCTGATATATGTCTGCTCCCATAGTATTTAAACTAGAGACAACAATATTTAAGATATTTTTGTCGGCTTACTAAAACATCTACACATAGGTCTCAAAATCAGGCTGAGGTAACCACAATGGGGAGGAAAATTTGGGGGTGTGCTGTAATTCCCCAGTGAGGGTGATGCTTTTGCTTACGCCGTTACTTTGCATTTCCTTACAGGGAAAACTCTGACAGCGCTGAAATGCTTTGTCATCACGGGAAACCCTTACCTTGGTGTGACTCGTGTGAGCTCATCGGAAGGGTGCAGAATGCGGCAGGTGGTGAAGGTGAAGGTGGAGTTGGTTTGTGACATGCACTTCCCAGGATGAGGTACTAAATTAAAAAAAAGCAAATTCTTTGCATTTTACACAGAAAAGGGGAAAAAAACCCAAACTTCTGTGCACCGGTAAGACAGATGCAAAAAGTGATGAGGTGCCTCAAGCCAGGATCAATGCAAAAGAGAAATGCAGAAGTGCTACAGTGTTCTAAGTGACACTTGTTCTTTGAAACAAACGCATCCAGGACTCCAAGGCCAGTGCTAAAAGGGTCTGCAGAGACTTCCCTTTCCCCACCACTGCACACAAGTCTTGCTCCAACCAAAGCTAGGCAAGGCAGTGCTTGGAGTGCTAATCCTCAGCTAAACCAGCAGCTTTTGCCACTGGGAAATTACCGGCTCAGGAGCACAAAGATTTTTCTGAACGCTCACGCATTTCGGCTTTTGGATTGATCCACAAAAAGGCAGCCCCATCACTTCTCAGTAATGGATCCAGCTTGCTGATCCTACAGGAATATCGATTGTCGGGGCGGGGAGCGGACAGACACACGTTACTGTTCCTCTGTCTCTGACTTTTCACACTCACAGCAAGGAAAGCGGCAGTTGTTTGGATCCACTACTGTACATCTGAGACATCTCCCTTGTGCGTGTGCTTAGGTTTTTTAAGAACGTACATCCTCAGCTGCACGACAGAGCAAGTTTTGAATGGCTGTAAACCATCCAGTAAATCATTTTTCCCACAAATGAAGCTCTAATGACGCCACTCTTGCTGGTATATCAGAAATTTTGGAAAGGAGCAATACAGCTCGAGTTAAAAAATGAAGAGCTTGGGCCAATTTCTTTCTTACCAGGGATACTACTGTGGATGTCCTAACCCACCGTGTAATGCAGCTGCGGCCATTGCAAAATAACTACAAGGTTTAAAGAGCCATGCATCTGAAAAGCCACTTGAAAAACATCTGGAGTTAAATATTACATCAAAGATATCTTGATTGCATAGGTTCTCTTACTCAGTAACCAGAGCATGGCAGTGGTCAGAAGACATGCACAGTAAAACCCGTGTGCGGCTCCCCTCCGCCCCGTGCTACCCAACCCTCCGAGCTGTTCCCCGATGAAGCCACATTTTGAAACCACAGTACATGACTAACTCAACACATGGCAAAGGACAGACAAGACCAACTCGACCAGACACCATTCAGAACTTCCAGAGATGCTTAGCGGAAGCGAGGCAAGTCTAAATTGTGGCTGTGTTCCCTTCTTTTGATGGATAAAGTATCACAGCTCCGAAACAATGTGTGCGGTTAGGTACTCCTTTAAAAACACGTATAAGCAGGCGTGTGAAGGCTGGAGCGTGACGAGTGTGAACAGTGGAAGCAGAAGAAGTGGCCAAGCATACAACGTGAGGTAGCTTCTAAACCAGCGCAGGGATGGACCGCTGCACACTCAAGAAGGATATTTCTAAAAAACCCACTGGAGTGTTGTGTTATCACGCTCAAATGTTAGCACAGCATAACGTTAACGACAAGCTCTACTTCACCTCCAGAGACGGTAAATTATGATGCTTCAGGAATCCAGTTGCTTTAGAGATTAGTGTGAGAGCTACAAAAGCTACTACAAGGGAGCACAGCCTAGCAATCATGATTCTCTCCATATGGCAGAGAGTTAAAAGAGAATCTGGAGAAAGAGCTCAGATAACTGGACACAGGAAAAAATGGTTATTTGGTGATAAACAGAGGACTTCAACACAAATCAAGTAGAAATAAAGCCATTATCCCTGGATGATGAATAGAGAACGGAAAAAAAGCAATGCTGGTTTAAGGTTGCAAGCTCAACCCAAAGCACATAGCTGCGACACAGTAAGTGCGTTTTCCCCGTTTGTAATAGCCACTGGGCACCCCCTCAAACTGGAAACAGGCACACTGAAGATACACAGCTGCATGAGCAAAAGCAAGACTCATTGCTATTAATGAGTCAGAGATAGGAGAAGGCTGCTAAAAGGAGAGAAATCACCGGCTCTTATTAGAGGAAACAAACTGAGATTATATTTATAAAAAAAAATAATTAAAAAATCCGCTTCCAAGGATGTGTTCCACCCTCAAATACCACTAAGAAAGTCCTGTACCAGCTTCATCCTCCATCAGTCAACAAGGGGGTGTATCATACTGCTGTAGCATTTTCCATCCTTTGGGCACAATACAAAGAGAGTGAGAACCTGTTGCTGTAAATGAACAGAGTTTATGAAACAGGAACAAAACAATTCATTCCTAAAATTTTACATACGAATGGTCATATCCTGAGTTGGTATAAATTTGTGAGAAAGTAACATACAAGTTTGCAATAAGAGAGACTATTTTCACATGCACATACAACAAAGGATTATTTTAAATATCAATATCTGCTCCATGTGACTGAGTCTGAAACCAAATTTTTTATTTAAGCCCACTTTTTCAAAGCAAATGGTTAACAGTGAGGCTTCATAGCTGTATGAAAAGAAATCTGTACATAATTCAGTGTTTAACAAAATTTACAGAAACATCACCTAATTTTACTCATTCTAAACTGCATGTGCATTTTCCCCCGAATTAAAATCCAAGCTAATCCTTAGATTGCCGCTGGATCACATTTTGTCTCTTGGTCATTAATGATTCTTTACTTTATTAAGCTCTCTCAAACGTTTCTTAGGAAAATGCAGTTCTTTGGAAAAAAATGTAAAACATTCTAGTTGGAGGAGACTCTCCTGTAGGCACCAACACTGTTGTAAACCATCTTTTAAAATACTGTAAAAAAAACCCCAAAAGGCAGGGAATAATCCAATTGTCTGCCGAGAGCTCCATCTCCTGGTGAAACAGAGCTTTCCCGACTCCGCACCCAAAGCCGATTTTACAGATCCACCTCCAGCACCCGGGGCTTATCTGCTTGGCACAAACCACAACACGGACGATGCGGTTATGACACATCTTGTGCTCAGGGAACCCTCAAAAGCTCGTTTAATCTGGACTTTCAGCCAGTATATCTTTGTAATTTATATAAACATCTATTCCGGCAAATACGGATTTATGCAAAAACTAACTTTAAAAAAAACCAAGAAGAAAACCCCACTGAAATCTTCAGAGCGTCATTCAATCCAGACCAGCACGAAGGTAACGTCTGAGTCCCACGTTGCAGCAAGCCACTCTGCTCACCATTTCTTTAGCGTGATTTAACAAGAAGATTTAACTACCTGGCTCCCTGCTCTTTAAGCAGAGTGAGAAGTAGAATTCAGGCATCTCTTTGGCACAGGCTGGTGATCAGGGAGGAAACGACAACCAGGCTGTGGAGTCCTTTGAGTAACATGTGGTGTCTGAAAGCATTAGAAGTTTATTTTTTTGCGGAATAAAATGAAAAAAAGCAGCTCTGCTTTGGAAGAGGATAACGAAGGACTATTACGAGGCACTTTTTTTTGCAGTGTGATCATTCAGAATACAAGCTCTGGACTCCACTTTTGCCAGCCTGTGCCACCAACTCCACTCTTGGGCAAGACGAAATTAACCCAAAATCAGGTCACAAAACCCCGTTAGGATCCACAGGATGAGAAAGGTGCTTCATGTATTCTCCATTTTCAGCAGGGTCCATTCCCCCCAGGGGCCCGAAGGCGAGAGCTCCAACACCCGGGCGCTGCCTGCATGGAAACCTCCCGGCCGACGGGATACAGAGAATATGGGAGATGCTGGAGCTGCTGCCTGCGATAAGTGCAACAACAAAACAGAGATGGGTGGGAAACACAACCACTGTCAAATGGGAGCACAGTGCTCTCCTAAAGATGTTTAGGTGCTTTCAGGTATCCTTCAGAAAACTGGTTTTCAGGGGGAAGCGCAAATGCTCGAAACCTCCAAGAATCTGTATGTCTATGCCAGGAGCGTTACTCCTGTTTCTTAAACAATCGACAATAAAATTATTTTCTGTGTATCTGCACTTCCAAACTTTCCAATTATTTTGCCTTTGGGAATAGGAAGAGATGAAAAACTGAACAAAGGCAGGTACTCCTCGGACAGGGTCTTCTTAGCTTTCCTCTGGCTGAGGTGCTCTCTCACATACATAACCACGGAGCAAAGATGTAAAAAGACTTCAAAGTATTTAATGCAGCTTCAACATGAGTTTATGCAGGCTGTAATCCCCAAATTAAAACTTCAGCATTTTAACAGCACAGATATCAACTGACAGACTTCTCTTAAAATAATTAGTGTGAAATATCCATGTCATGTGAAAATATAATGTATTTAAATATGGATTAATACCTTAGTTCTATGAAGAGTTACAAAATGTATTGCTTTACTGTACAATGGTAACCTCCCAGAAGCTAATCCTGCTAAAAACAAACCTAAGACATTAGTTATGTGCTGCCGTGATTTTATTTTATCTACTTGGAAAGCTCCCCATGTCCTGGAAAAGGTGTAAACATGGAGTAGAAGAAGGCTCATGTCTGCCCAAACCAGTGGAACCAACAAATTCAGGTACTGGAAGAGCAGTTCATGCAACCAAAACAAGCAAACACTGAATCGAGTGTAGGCCTTCCGACCTCAAAATGAGAACATTCACAACATTAAGTGCTTTGAAAGGCTTGGGACTTTTCCTTTAAGGGAAACCTGAAAAGCAATGAATTAAAAAAAACAGAAAACCAAAAGCCCCACATTATTCCCTTTTTCCCAAACAGACTCTGTACAGTTTTAATATACACTATAGTCCCTTTTACAAGAATAAAAAGAAATAAACTGAGGTTACTAAAAATTTGTGCTGCAAAAATTACCTGTCCTAGATGGCATTAACATCGCCGTATGTCCGACAACTTCTGTAGCTTTTCAAGTATGCTGAAAGTCTGCACAAGTGATGCACAAATTTCAACCTCTTCCTGAGTATTAGGCTAGAACTGCGATTCTGGAATTTACAATCTTCCATAAAATCGCTGAGCCCACCCACATTATTGTAGCTCTGACAGACCAACTGCAGGTCACAAATCACACGGGCGCTAATATTTTCTGAAACATTTAGTGCCGTAACTGGGATATAATCTGCATATATACAGGGAGGGAGTGATTTTAGATAGCAACGGATGCTACAGGTTTCACTATGTGCTCACTAAAGGTTGTATCCAAGACATTTCTCTCCTGCCATTTTTATTTTCCTTTCACATTCTTTAGCAAGAGTTTATTCCGTATGTTGCTGTCTGGAATCTCTCCTATTTCTGTAATGTATTAAAAGTACGCAGCAAACAACACAAGATGAAATAAGATTATTAGCACAAATAGGTGGTTTCTACTTTGCCTATTTAAAAAGTAAGAAATATGCTTAAAAATCTTGTCTGAGATAACTGGAGTTTTCCCAGGCAAAATCAGCAGAAACTAGGGAAACAGTGATCTATATACAAACTGTAATGGAGAAGGAAAATGGGAGAAAACACTAGTCTTTCTTCCCTGTTTGTAACCACAGCACAGGACTAAATTTATTTTTCTGCTCCAAAGAAAGAATTCCAAATCACTACCCACAGATGTTTTACTGATCTGTTCTTAAAAGAAAAACACAAAAAAAAACCCCAACAACGAACTAGACTATATCTATATCTTTGTCTATGCACAGTCCATGAGACCAAGGTTTCCAAATTTTCGACATGTTCCTGTGCTGAATATTCTTACAAGCAGAAAATTCTTCACCCAAAGGGCAACCCAAGCAGCCTTTTCTGCACAGTTATTATATCCTGAGTACTTGAAGAACTACTTGTTCCCTTCCTCCTTCCAGCAACACCTTTTAAAATGAATTGTGTCTCTTCCTGAGTCTTTTATTCTGTAGACTCTAAAAAATGCCAGTTGTTTCAATCTCGGATTATTTCACTTTGTGTTTCCTAGATCTCCAGCTTTTCTTGCTGTTCCTATTGAGACTCTTCAAAATGATTAAAAACCTGGATGTTATCTAAAGCTGTACACAACTCCTGCAGAAACACCATTTATTTCCACACTAATATAAAAATTAATGCAAACATTATTCCCGGGGGCAAGGGATCTCGTAGAATAAAGACAATTTCTGCCAATGGAAAGGGGAGTTGACGAGTTTGAATATTCAAGCACTGGGACAGGCTGCCCAGGACACTGGTGGAGTCCCCATCCCTGGAGGGATTTAGGGACATGGGTCAGTGCTGGGTTAGCGGTTGGACTCGATGATCTTAAAGGTCTTTTCCAACCTAAATGATTCTATGGTTCTAAGTTTAATCTTATTACAAAAAAGTAGTTACATTCAATAGCTGAAAACACTGAACGGCCATTTAAGTGAGAGCTGAGGATACTCTGCACTTCATGAAAATAACAGAATGTTGTTGTCTTGCCCTGAGACAATCTAATCTTCCAAAGACCAGCCAAATAATAACTTATGATTTATTCCAGAAAAAGGAAGGGGAAGGAAGTATATTAATTTGAAGTAGTTATGTAAAAACAAGAAGTCTGAAGAAAAGGGAGTTCTGGTAGTTGTTCTAATTCTGGACTAAATATAATTCTTGACCAGCAGCAAATCTTAACGAAGACTAGCACTCCTGTATAGCTTATTAAAACAAAACAAACAAACAAAAAAATCAACCAAAAAAAAGAAACCACACAAACTCTAAACAGAAAACAAGCATGAGAACCTCTAACGTCATGCAATAACAGACCGCAAATGCCAGTTCAGAGTATCTAAGAACTCACGCAGTACTGCAGCATTTAAAAATGTTTAAATCTCAATATGGCATAAATAGGAAGGAAAGATTTTAAGTGTGGTGGAGAGGGAATGAGGAAAATGTCATTATTCTGTGCATAAAAACATCCTCTTAATTCTTTACCTCAAAGAGAATTTAAAAACAGGTAACGGTACCTGAGGTCACTGAGTTAAACTGAAAGAATTTTTTGCTTGATTTTCAAGGCACTTCCATTTGTTTCAGCAAAGGCAACTTATGTGCACCTTCTGTCATCATTCAGTCTTCGTTTTTTTCCCAGAGTATGAAAATCTAAAGCATGCCATCACCTCTTACAAACAGCCAGAATAATTTCTGTACTACAAGCGTACAAAATCTCTACCATCTATACATTATATATACTGAAAAGCGTGCACTAAATACACATACAAGTTGCACACATGCCACACAAGGGTTTGTGAATGAAGCACTTCCTTTTAGCAGCCTTCTCTTATCAAAATAGAGTAAAATATTGACCGCAGACACTGTTATTGGGGAGGAAGAAAAAAAAGTCAAAATAAAGGATTATTATTAAGGAAAGGACTTTGGAGGCAATGTTAGAATGGTTACGTTCTAACTCCCGCACGCGTTAACGTGCTGCACACAAAGCAATACTATGGATGCTGTTCTGGAGAGATGCGAGAATGGCCCAGTAATCAAAATCCTGCAAAGATGTCAGTTTTACTGGACTTAATGAGTTTCCCTCACCAGACCCCTCATCATCGTCAGTCGCGGGCTCCTGCATCTCCTCTGGGAAAGCCTGAGATTGGCGGGGGTTATTCTTGTTGTCTGAAACAGTCACTTGTGCTTGTGACCTCTCACCTGAGGTCTCCGTGTGCTGAACTGGCGTCGAGGTAGTTAGGCCCTTGTAAGAAATGTCACCTGTCTCATCTTCCTCATAGTCATTAAGGCAGTACACTTCATCTAGGTCCAGGTCCAGGGTCCGGAAGCCCTTGGTGACAACCCCGGGCCTGGGGTCCAGGATCCCGGCCAGGTGAGGCTGAGCCAGCTGCTGCCAGTGGTGCAAAGTGGCAGAACCTTGAAAAGGGAACAGAAAGACAACCACAAGGCATCAGTAACCAAGCTGCGACGTAAGAAGGCAGAAAAATCCCGCTTTGATCGTCCAGCAGACCAAAGGTTTCACAGCTCCAAACCTTTAATGTTTCTGTGTTTAATATTTCTAAGAGGACATGCTACAAGATGAGACTGCTTCACCTACTCATCAGCATTTTCACATCAGTACAAAATAAATCAGCACATCAGCACTTCAGACAGGCAAAGGCTGGTGGTAAGGATGTGGCACACTTCCGAGCACACACACCCCCTCCCTGTCAACATCCTCCTCCCCTGAAATTCACAATTTCAGCAGGCGTAGAAAAAAATTATGTATAGCACAGAAAGCTCCGAGAGGAATGTGGAGGTCAGCAGCCACATAGCCAGCACAGCAATCTCAGCTTTCTACCACACGTGAGAAGGCCACATCAACTCATGTAAGCACCTCCGACCTACACATTGCGTGTAAATACTTGCCTGGCCTCTACCCAAGCTCCTACGCCACAGGAATTCAACCACTATGTAACTAAATGCTTCCGTACCTGTAGCTTCATCCGTGGAAAAACGCTGAGTGAGGAAAAGAGGTGCATTTTACAGAGAAGAGCATTCGATACTCAAACAGGAGACAAGAAGTCAGGAACAGCAACACATCAGGTTAAATTGATACATACACTGTGATAAATCAGAGGAGGATTTAGCTGATTCCACAAGCAGCAATTAAACACTGCTCCCAAGTGTCTACACTCTCCTATGTGCCTGCCAATCACTAATGAGACTTAAAAATATACATTCCCGGTCCTGTGACACAATCAAAACACCTTTATTTTCACCTCTGGCCGTTCGAATCAGAGCAGTTTCTGTTGTCCTGCTCCAGTCCCCTGTCCCCAAAGCACAGCACTGACCCATTCAACACACTGGCAGCACTCAAAGGCCAAGAACATTTGATTGTTTGCACATTATAGATAAAAATCTGACCCAATCTAATAACTAAGGGAGGTATGACTCTTACATGCATTATTCTGGAATGAGAAAAAGTGTCATTTCACCATAAGGATATCGCATTACAGGAAGCTTATTGTAAATAGGAAGCGAACAGGGAAAAAGTCTTTCTGCAGAACACCTGGGATCAGTGAGGACAGGATGGCTGTTTCATGCTTATGGCACAAAAAGTTGCAGATTCAGAGCTTAAACCAAACACAAAAACCCCCACTAGACTGTTAACTAGATCAAGTCACACAAGCAATCATTCTATTCACTAAAAGAAAGGTTGGCTAGTTGTTTGGTTCATTTCTTAGTGCTTCTGTCACCCTATTTATTTCACTTCGGGATTGAAAAGATTGCTTTAAAGGCGTAAAGCCATTAACCTGAAAATTATTATAGACCTGATTTTTATTTTTTCCCATTTTATGGAATGAGAAACCTCAGGAAAGCAAGTATAAAAAACAAAGGCACAACTACTGGTAACAGCCTGCAGTTAGAGCAGACGATTTTGCCCCAGTATTCTGAAAGCATCCATGAAGTTGAAAAAACGAGTATTACATCTCACGAAAAACACTCAGGGAAGAAACTAAGCTGAAGCGATGAACAGAATCACAAACATGTGTTCAAGAAACAATAACAAACACTAAACTTAGGAAACACGTAGACACAAACACGCTACAAATGAGATCTAAAACCAAACATGAGAAGTACTTGAAAAGGTGCAATAATTGTGAGGGATAAAATGAGCTAGTGAGAACAACAAACAAAACCAGGAAAAAAAACCCAGACAGATAGAAAGATGATAAAGACTTTAAGAGTTTATTGGAAGAAAAAAGCAGATATAACGGGATGGTGACAGAAATCTATTACAGTGGTAGCAACCAGTAACTGAAACAAAAGCTGGATCATCCCTTCCTTCATGTGGTACAGGAATTTTTATGACCATGTAAAAGCAGTCATGAAAACAAACTACCAAAATCTGCTAAACAGTACAGACTTGTGTGCTATGGCTATGGATTCATTTAGACATAGCACATCAACTTTCTTCAGGACACAAGAAGGGTTATATTTGCTATGTGCCATACTAAATGCTCCTTATGGATGGAATAAATTTGTTCTAAAAAGATGAATTGGAATTTTTGTAACTAAAATACACTGGGACAATGTGATGTAACACAAGAGTTCTGTTAAAGGAAAAGACAGAGAGAGAAACCAAAGCTAAGCTATGTAATTAGCGTGTCTGTGAAGTACTACAGGAAAAGCTTTTTGTTGAAAACCTAAAGGAATTTTCTCAGCTACCTTTCAGCAAGAACCCGAGAGGACTGAAGGAAGTCAGGCAGGCTGTACTGTACGTGCTCTGTCGGCCTTATGAGGCAGTCTACAGAAATGCACTTTGAAATAAAGCTCCAGCCCTGAGTACCATCCACCTATAGCTTGGCTTTTTCTGACGTGTTATAGAGAGGGAATTGGACTTTAGAAACAAAATCAAAACCAATTATTTCACACATGAAACCCAAAGCCATAGAGACTCACGTGCAGCCACTCAACCAATCAATTAAAACCCAGAGGTCATTTTTAATCACAAAAATAGTCTTATTAGACCACCTCGACTATTTGAAGTAGCTAAAGATCTTTGCAGGTGCTTATCTGGAGAACTGAGATTCAACGAACTCTTGCTGCTTAGAATTCAGATACTCACCCACCTTGCTTTTCTAAGCATGAAATGGCAATGCTGAGATTTAGGTCTGACATAAAGCTGCGCTGCTGACACACGCGTAGCCTGTAACATTTATTTTATTGCCTTGGCTGGAATTGTGTCCTAACACTTTTAAGGCTTGTGGAAAAACGTGGCCGTTAGAAGATTTCAAACCAACAGCGAGGATTACTGTCTCTAAAGTAAAAAGAATATGTATTGCAAAGATTTCCCGCTTTCTGGTGATGGATAAGAGCCCACAAAAAGTCACTAAGAAGAACAGATAAAGGCCGAGGCCCTTTGTTATCACCTTCTAGTGGTTTCACAATCTGAAGCTTTTCGGGCAGGTAGGAGCGACTGCTGATAGACATTCCTGAATATCCAGTGAACTCTGAAAACCTGGAGTGAGTTCCCAGTGACATGATGCTCTCTGTGGGGGTGACGGAACCACTGTGGAGCTCGCCCTTTTCTGCCAGTTCCCGCAGCTTTCTTTCCTGCTCTTCCTCGAAGAATTTCCGCTCTGAGAGGTAATTCTCCCGCCGGAGGGACAGCCTACGGAGAGCAGTCTCTAGGTCACTGGAGCCTGGAGTTCCCGGCGTTCCGGGCTTCTTCATCCTGTCTTCATTTCTAAAATGTAACAGGAGACATGCGCACGCACAAAGAATAGAAAGGAAGGGAGGGAGAAAAGAAATAAATTTTAGAGATGCTTGAAACTTCCACATGACAGTTCTGAGACATTCAGCAATATCTTTAAATTTCTGTGTCTGGGAACAACTTGCTACTCGTCTGAACACCAATATTTTCTTTCTCTTTCATACTAAAACCATATTGAATTCTAGTTCTTGCCTGGAAACTCCTGGCTGGAAAAGCTGCGTTTTACTTAAGAGCTTCCTCCTACAAAGAGATGAGAGATGTCTCTCCTTGTTCTGTGTCTCTTATGGTTACACAAACTCAAGCAAGCAGGCCACATCTTACAGGCCCAACAGTGCAAGAATATCATAATGAGTCAAACTAGTGTATTATGCTGACAAATATTCAGCATTTTGAGATATTGCTTTTACCGCAAAGTGTATACGGCATAGTGTGGAGCTGTACTAGGGGAAGAGACAAGTAGCTACAAGAATGAAATTCTGACTGGTTTCATTCACAAGCTTTCATATTAGGTAGCCTGCACCCACTTATTTATTTTTAAGCTCAAACCAGTTAGCATTAATGTAAACTGGTGAAAATATAATTGGCTTTAAGTGCTGGCCTACAGTCGCAAAGACAAAGGGTGGTTTTACATCATGTGGTGATGCTGCATCTCAGAACAGGCGTGAGCTGCAGGCACTGATACACATCACTTTCAAAAAGCTTTCCTTTTTAAATAAACTTGAATGCTCAAGAACTACAAAATACAAAAATAAAAATACAAAATAAAGTCACTTTTGAAGATGTACGTCACTGTGTTAATTGCACCATGTAAGAGGAAAACAGAAATACTTTGCCTTCCTGTCAGAAGCAAAGCAAAAGCAGAGTCCAGCGCTGCAGTACTGACCCGTTGTCAGAGGATTCTGTCTCTAAGATGATGCTGTTGGTCTTGTTGTCTATCACAATGTTAGAGATGTCTCCCCCATAGAAACTGGAACGTGGAGTGCTGACACAGCTAGACATGACTGAGTTCATAGCAGAGGACTGGTTAGAGCCTGGGATATTCATTGGTGATGGAGTCATGGATCTCTGCTTGACGACTTGGTTAACGTTCCTCACCGTCTCAAAGACCCGCTTCTGATGACTGGCAAGACATACACACAGTTAGTAATCACACAGTGCCTTCTGACCTTCAGGAGGAACAGAGAAACAGGTAACAGCTTGGTAACGATCCTTTCTATTCAGAGCTCCACCTTGCCTTTACAGTTTCTATAAAATACTTCGCACAGGGTCCCGTACTTGGTACAGTCTGGCCATTACATTCAATCTATCAATATAATACTTCCTTCTTCCTAGAATATTTTAGACAGAACGTTTTACAATTACTTGTGTGGGCCCTCTCAAATATTAATAAAAATTAAGTGAAAGAGCATTTCATGACATCAGCTATGCCTTAAAGCCACTGTGTGGAAAAAAGTTTTTAAAACAAAACGGATCTCCACTCAGTTCTTAACTATGAACTGGCTAATCTGTTTTAAGAGAGAATTTGAATTTACTCTGCTGAGTATCTCTATGCAAGCAAGTCCTATAGCCTTCCTTTTTGAAAAGAATTTCCAATCCCCTTAAATAGCACTTAAGAAAAAAAAAATCATACAATAGATAAAGATTCTAGAGAGAGGCTGTCAAGGCTGGAAATGTCCTTTTTTTACCTACTTCTGCAGTTAATTCTTTATCACCATTGTCCTGATCAACTATGTGTCAAGGGTTTTGTAAACATACTTTAGAAGGTTTCTGCAAAGTGGCTACTGTACCTGCCCTGAATGTCCTTTCTTTGAAAAGTCTCTCAAGCAGACCCTCTAAAGAGGATTAACTTGTTTCAGATTAACCAGTCCATGCTTTGTACAAATAGGTGAGATAAACCTGTTGAAGTACATGTGTGACTGGTGTCAGTGATGCCATTTCTGCCAAGCTGTGTCTATCTATAGCTTTAGACTGTCACAAGCACTTAACTTGTTTCCAGTCCCTCCCTTGTTTAATTCAAGAGAACTTCAGCACAGGCGTAATGGGCATCAGACTGTAAGTACCCAAGCACTCGGAATCACCTTCTACACTGATGCTCTCCCTGAAAAACTGGATTAGATCAGTAATTACCTGGTCACTTCTGTCACAAAACCTGAAGTGAGAACTCAAGACACTGAACTCATCCCCTAATTGTTAACCAAAACAACCTAGCACAGTAACACACAAGAGAACAAACCTTTTCTCTTTCTCAGCACTTAAGAATGAGGAAAAAAATGTTCATAAGACAAAGCAAAATCTATATATAGTCTGTCACTCACACTCAGTCAAAAATATTTCTCTCTAGATCCCTAGCTCCACCATTCCCTGTCTTTTCCTTGCTCATCAAATAATAATTAACTTCAGATATAATCAATCAATGAGTAATCAATTCTTTTCAGCCATACGCCAAGTCAGGAGAGTCAGGTTCATCTAAATGCAGTTCTTTCCTCATTGACCCTTCTATCTCTGCTGCCAAAGAGTCCTGTCAAAAAGAAGCACGAAAGAAAAACAAATACCATAGTATTAGCAGGTTGTCACTGCAGAAAGTAATTAGTTATATAAAACAATGTCATTAGTGTTGTAACTGTAAATTTAAACAATGTCAGAATCACTGTCGGAATCATAGAATAATTTTCTTTGGTTGTTTTCTGGTGCGTGCAGGTTTTCCTCCTGAATCTGCTCACCATAGGGAAGAGACCGAGAGAGTGGTACCGTCGTGATATGGCGTTTGGCATAGTCTTGTTCCTAAGGTTTTTCAGCTCTTCTTGCGCCTCATGAAGCATTTCCATGCACTCTGCATATTTGTCTTCCAGCTCTCGCAACTGGAAAACAATAGAGAAAACAGTTCGAGACCTTATGGGCTGCACTATCAGCACAAAACACCTGCAAGTTCTTTTAATGTTGGTAAAGGATAATGGAAGAGTATTCCACTTAAAGGGAACAGCACTCCAACGAGTGAATATAATTGAAAATCATTAATAATGTGGATGAGTAATGGGAGGGCAGGCTTTATTTTTATCTTGACTTTCTCAGGAAACACACGTTATCACCATGCTTGTAGATGTCTGTGGTCCATCACATCAGCTTTTCCAAAATGTGTGCCAGCTGATGGAGAAGAGAAAGGAAAAGGTTTTGTACTCTACCAGGGACATAACTGTTCCTTCGTTCCATTACTTTAGCAAAATTCTTTAATGCTTCTGATCCAGCTGAGACCAAATCTCCTGTAGTAAAGTGAGCAGCCATTGTCCTACTACTAAATTATTGTAATATTAAGTAATGTGACTTACCTCTGCTGTGAGCTGTCTCTGGGCATCTTTAGCTGCTCCCAAATGCTGGACGAGCTCCTCATTTTCAACTGCGCACTAAAATACGCCAAAAAAAAGAAGTTAGAAATACTGCGATGTTTTTTTCTGTAATGATCTTTGATTCCCATACTACCGTTAAGTAGGAAAATTCTAACTTTTCTCAAGACCCTCTCTGCAGCAATCTTATTCCACTATTCCACACATTTAAAACATTAACACAAGGACACCCAGTGTCAGCCTGTGCCTAGCTAAACAAACCTCCAAAACCCTAAACCCAATGAGTACTGAAATACTTGTGCTGACAGCCTTGTCTTACCAAAGTCGTTAAGTGCAGATTTTACCATCTAATATTTAAAACAAATTTAACTATTTTATTTGAGATACCATATATAGATCTTTTAATAAAGTGATACTTTCAAGCGGAGTATGCTGGACGCTAAACATCAGACAAGGTCACCGTGATAAGGAGGGTGGAAAGTTTCCTTTAGGCTCTAGTACACAGAGGATTGTAACTTGTCTTCCAGCTACAACAGTAGCAAATCACAACAACAGTCTTGCAACCAGATTCCTTACAGCTTTTGACTTTTTCTGTAGATCGACTATCTGAGAAAGAAGATGGGTGATTTCTTCCTGCTGCCGGGCAGCATCTTCCGTCTTCTTTGCTAACTCTTCAGAGAGATTGGCAATCTGGATGTTTGCATCCCCTTGAAGATAAGCAAATACAGTTAACAACACAAACCCCCAAAGCAGGAAAGCAAGCAGAAAGATGTTCTTTTGGAACATCACTTGATTCAGCAGAAACCTGCCCCAAAGCACAGCAAGGGATTTTTTAAAAACAACAGTAGGACACATAACCAGAAAGATACAAAGTGTTGGTGCTGCAGAGGGGATTGTACTTTCCCTTACCACTAACATTTTCTGTGCAAAACTATTTTGCAACTGAGAAGGATTCAGCTTACAGCCACAATTTTCTGGAATTTCAGACAGAAATCGTCTCCTCACAGTAGTTTATGTAAGGAAAATAAACATCACAGATAAGAAGGACTGACTGATCTGACTCAGTTTTAGGGGTTTTGTTTTACTGAACTATCTCAAATGAGAAGTGAAAAGAAATCGGGACGTACTTAGCTCTTTTACACAGTCATTGACAAGCTGTTGTTCCTTCTCTTCGTAAGTAATTGTTTCAGTCTTCAGCTGACAGGCCTGTTCAAGAAATCCACATCAAACATGCTACATTAGCACACGCTCGATCTTTGCCAGTCTGGTGCTGCATTTCCATCTGCTTCAGAAAGAAAAGCTTTTCTAATCACTCCTCCAGGAAGACACTGAGAAATTATTGGCTTTGCCTGCCCTCCCTCATGTGATGGTGGTGTTGGGTAGATGGTCAGACAGATGATCTTAGAGGTCTTTTCCAACCTTATTTATTCTGTGATTCTATGTTCTAGAAAAAGGGGCCACGCAAACATTCAGCAGAGATGTTGCTGCACAGAGAAAGTGGCACCTTAACCGAGATATCCCCACTAGATGTCACTTGTGTATTTTGCACTAAAGATAAATAAACTAAAAAAAACCCCTGAACATAGAAAAGACTGGTATGCAGAGCTTGATCTGGTCACCTGACCAAAGCTAAGTATCAGCACAGCCGAAGTCACCTAGTTCTGCCAGGTCAGCCCTTTAAGACCATTTCAAAGCGCAGCTGAACTCCCAAACCTGCCTGTGCTCCCACACATTCTATATGCAAGGCTTTGCCTGTAGCTTCCATGTTTTAGCTTTTCCTTCATTTAGAAGGATAAAAGGTGGTGATTCAACAACTACAAAAAGAGACCTGTGTCACATATGCAGTTATATACTCTTAATTAGACTCTGTCAACTTGTAATATGTGTTGCCCAATATCTGTGTGCTGGCATTTAAACCGACAGCTGTATTAAGCAAAAGGCAAAGGGAGCAATTTCACCTCAGATCTAAGCACAACATTCTCCTCTTCAAGGTCCTTGAGTTTCTTTTGAAGAGAATCCAAATGAAAGTAGTTCTGGACAGAGGAGGAAGATTCATTCCTCTTCAGCCTTGAAATGAAAACAACAGTTTTAACTCATTTTTATGTATTATGGCCAATCTCAGGAGAACAGGCACAACCAAGGGTCTCATGACCAGCCAGAACCACAAGAAATCCAGCTTGTTCAGACCAGTATGTCTGGGCAGCAACAAGCTTTAAGTGATTTTTAAAAGAGAACATTTTTTAAATGTAATTATTATTCCACACATTTCCTACGGAAAAGCTACTCAGCCAAGATTTTCAGAAAGGAAACCACCACCTTACTACAGGGAGCGATTCAATAGCTTCCTAATTAACACTGCACGTGTTTCACGCACGAGCTCAGGAATGGGCAGACAGCCCCTCAAAGCCTAGTGTGCTCTCCAGCTCGGAACCCACGCCGTGAGCTGCCCTTTATCTCCTTCCCTCTGCTGGGAATGTTTCCACGGTGCCTTCAGGTCCTTCCAGCTGGTGCCACGCACCAAGTTCAAAGTCCCATTTATAGTGCCAGCAGATACATGGATCATTTTATTGCTTTTTGAAGCTATAAATTGTCCAAACCACTCCTGCTTAGTACCAGATGAAGGTTCAAGGTTGTAGATCATTCAACTTACGGGGTGGAACAGATGGACTCTGGCTCGCTTTCTTCAGCAGCACTGGTGTAGAACTGGAGCAGCTCATCTTTCATGGAGAGTTCATGCCGCAACTGAGAAACCTGCACACACAAAGAGCCTGCACATCAGCAAGCTGACTTTTTAGGCACATTCTAAAGTAAATGTGCTGCAATTCATCCTCCAAGCATCATCTTCAGACTAAATCAAGAGGCCAAGACTAGAATAGACCAGAACTTTATTTCTTAGAAAAGAAAAAAAGTCTACCTTTTAAACTAGCCATTAAATGTTCTTTTTTAAAATAACAGACTTTTCAAAAATTATCCACTGCTATTAGACATATTCCTCTTTCACCCTCCTTAAGGTGAGCAATTCTGATTCACTATTGCATTAGTCTAGATTCACATCCGCAGAAACGGACATGCTGCAACCACACTGCAAGAAATTAATGTGGCACAACTGAGTCAAATATCACTTTTATCTTTTTTAAGTCACCTTCTGGCTTGGACATAGACCTTGCATGCCTTCCAATGCACAAACTGCAGAGCACTTTTGTTTTTATTATACTTCTGCTTTTTGTGTGGTAGACATATTTATATTTGTAGTTATTACTGAAAAAGAAACAAAACAGAAAACATCAATAAAATAGATTTAAGCTGCATTTTCATCAAACAAAAAGCAGACTCGATGCAATAAAGCACTCAAATTGTGCAGAACTTTAACTAACCAAGGCCATTTACTTTAGTAAGGCTATTCTGTGTATCAGACGTGCTAAGGCGTCAAGCCCTGAGACATGGGTTTTAAAACGCAAGGCGGGAAGAAAAACCCCAACTAACCACATTCTAGAAAATCATGAAACTAAATCCATGCATTAATTTTGGGAAGTTTGCTTCCCCCATTTCAGGAAGAACTAGAAAGCTGAGCCAAAAATAACAATTTACTTTTTTTCTGGCACATTACAGCTCAGCCTCTAAGCAGCAAGGCTTCAAATACTGTCAGTGGGTGGGCACTAGATCATCTCCAGCTTTTGCCACATTTTTTTTCCTCTGTGAATAAGAAAGACTGAGGTTACAGATTTTACCACCATTTCCAAGCATGTCAATTCACCAAAGGAGGGTGAGCAGCCAGAAAGGGCAACCTTTTAGCAGAACAGGACCAGAAGTGATGGGCACAAACTGACACAGAGGAGGTTTTTTCTGGACATCAGGAACTACTTCTTTACTGTGCGAGTGACCGAGCACTGGCACGGGTTTGCCCAGAGAGGTGGTGGTCTCCATCCTTGGAGATGTTCAACCAGGGTGTGGGCACAGTCTTGGGCTACCGGTTGTAGGCATATCCCTGCTTGAGAAGAGGGTTTGGCCAAGACGACTTCAAGAGGTCATTTCCAACCTCAATCATGTCAATTACAAATAAAGTCACTGCACTAACCTCCAGCAACACAAGGCTACAGAACTGCATTACTCAGGTGCTACTACAGGTTTGAGGAGGTGTTGTTTGCTTCACCTTTCATTCTCTAGGGCACTACAGGCAAAGTCCCAGTTCCATCAGCCCCTTCCTAGACCTTAGCAGCACCTAACAATGCTAACTCAAACGAGAAATGCAAGAATTAAATGCATTTTGCACAGGCCTGTGTTACTTTAACACATATCTAGGAACGTGGTATGTTACAAGGACACAGGAAAAACTTAAGCAACTTAATAGGATGGTGAGGAGGTTTTGTCAGGACAAATTTGCTAAATCAAAGAGATGTAAAGCTAAATTATTCATGCCATGATACATATACCAATAAAACCTTAACTTCACATCACATACTAGAAAAAACTTGTCTCTATATTACAAAAATGCCACGACTTCAAAGCTCAACAAGCTCTGCCTCAAAAGCACCAATTTCTGAAGTAGTCTTAATGACAGTGTGACACATGGGTGTTGATAGAACATATGGCCCAACATATCAAGCCACCTAGTAAGAAGCTTATTTCTGGTGGCACTTCTCCTAATGCTGCTCTCGAGTCCCTCTAAATAAAAACAGCCCTGGACAGAGGTAGTCCATCCCTGCCCTCCACCAAATCAAGTCTCCCATTTTGGATGGACAGTACCAACGCACTGCCCTGCCCAGTCAGAACACACTGCCCCCAGCTCAGTCAGTAAGTCAGAGTTTAGTGAAACTTGTTACAGACAAAGAGCTTTTTAAAAGCATCCTGTATGGTTCTATCAAAGATAGATTTATCAAGAATCTGCCAGCACCTACAGCACCCACCTGCCTATTCAGAAGAATACAGTAAGAAGTAGCAACTGTAGAAATAGTTGATTAAAAAATTCAGTGGTATCTGGAAGACATAAGGTATTACTTTAAACACCTGAAATTTGCTCTGAGCAACCTGATCTGGTTGAAGATATCCCTGTTCATGGCAGGGTGGTTGGACTAGATGACCTACAAAGGTGTCTTCCAATCCAAACCCTTCTGTGAATTGAGAAACGCATGCACCATCGTACTATATCCTAAACGTGCTCACCAAATATCTAAAATACGATTGCTGCAGTCAAACTCCCACAGATGTAAGTACTACAGCAGGCTACTGACCCAGGCTTCAACAGATTCTATCCCAGTTCCCTGGAAAGCCATACAGCAAAATCACAAGAAGATGTAAGATCCTAGCAATCTAGAGAGAAGTCTTGGCCTATAACTCTTTGATTTCAAATACAACCCAGTACTTCCTAATATTGACAAGTTCATACATACAGAGTATGCTGAACAAAAATTACCAACACTTAAACTTTATCCTGACCCATCTCAACAACAGAGTGCCGAAGAAAATTCAGTATGGACAGGGTGAAGCTAGAAGGAAAATTCTCCCCATCAACGCAGATAAAACACTCAGGTATAAAAATGTTACCTCTTCCCTGATGTGTTCTACTTGCTCCTCCAGGAACTCATTTCTTTCTGTCAGTGATTTATTCTTCTTCAATAGCGACTGGCCAATCCGAGCAGCTAATTCTAAGTCTCGTTCTTTCTGTGAAGCATTAAGAAAAGAAAGGTCATTTCAAATTTTTTATTCACCAAAGGATCACAAGGAGGGCAAAACTGTCATGAAAGGGAAGGAACAATGAAAAGGGAACTTGAACAATGAAAAGACTTTTTCCTTCTGTGAGGGTTTGCTTGGTCGGATTTTTTGCTAATTTTCTTTTGCTGTTCCTGCTTATGTTACGCCCACGTTATCAAGAAAATACTGAGTTACTGAACCATACACACAAAAGCACAGCTTCAAGGTCTTCAGTAAAAACCAAGTGAAACCGGATCTGGTTCTTTATTACAGCTATTCCATCACCTACTTATACCATTTGCAGAACTTCAGAGGTTACATTTGAAAGAATTCATAAGCACAGTACAAAATACCAAAGAATAAAAATATTCAAAGCATTCTTCGGTTTCTACTTTCTCCACCTTGAAATAAAAGGCAGGAAGCTGTTGCACAAGCAGAAGCTGGTTCCACCACAATGAACGTTCAGCTCCCACCTTCTTTGAACATTCATTCTTGCTTTTGTGTGAAAAAAAATCCTATCTCTTTTTGCCGATGTCCGAATCTACAGTAACTAGTTTCTATCATGCCATGCTCGGCCCTTTCTTCCTGCTTCTCTGAGTGCACAGAATTGGAAATAACCTGTCTAGACAGTTTATCATGTGTCCCAGTGAAAACCAGAAGCTTATCCCTGTTGATGAGATGCGCCTATACATGTCTCGGCTTCTGCAAAGCTGGGACATGGGGCTCTAATCTGCCTGGGGGAGCTTATTTACTGCCTCTGACTTCTAAAAGCTACCTTCTGTCATGTCGACATTAATGGCAAAGCCTACAAAACCGACAGCACCTCATCACGCGGACTGGAAGTCAATGAATCAGAATGAAGAGGTTTTTGTAGTGGGAGGAAAAAACGAAGTCACGTAATAATGGGTAAATAAAAAGAGAGGCTATCGATCACCGCTGTAGCTACAAATAGCACTTCCCAAATGCTTTCTGAAGGTCAGGCTTCTGTTTGCATTGAAAGCTACTGGCATTATCTAGCCGTAACATCGGTATATAATCTTAGGCACAATCTTTCAGAACAACGGGTCCCACAAAGTTATCCAAAAAACTGTTTGGTTTATGTATTGAGCCAACTTATTGTCCAGTAATTTGGCTTACTTCATAAATCCAAAGAGGGAAAAAATACATTGCTGCAGACTCTACAGAGGAGGAGCTACCTAGCAACACGTTTTCTAATCTCAAATTTGAGGAATGTATGTGTGTTTCCAGGGTCTTTAATTAAGCTCCCTAGACTTCCTACACAATTTTTAGCAATTCAGCTCCAAATCCCAGTTTGGGGTCAGGCCTCTTACTCAGTGATAAGGAAAGGATTTATTATAGTGATGTGTAAAAACAACAACAACAAAAAAATCCTGAAACTGGACACATTAATGCTATTCTGAAAAGAGATGTAAACTTTAGCGATAACCATCCTTTGGAGAACACATCTCACTTCTGACATTGTTATTGCAATCAGCAATAAATATGGACTGATGCAATTGTGACAGCTTGCACTTTAAGAATTCTTCATAAAGGTTATTTGGAAAATTGTTGCTCAAGTTTATGGCAGAAAAGCAGCTAATTTAAGTAAAAAAATTTATCATGCTTATTGAACATAAGCATTGTGGCTTGACAGTTGCTTTTGGCCATTTCTTGAATGCCAATGATTACAGTAATAACAATTTACATAATAATAGTATTAAAAAAAACCAAACAAAACAGACCAACCAAACATACGGCAAAGAAAAAAAGGCTTGGAGACAAATGGAGTCTTACATACTTTGTAATTTTGCGTCTATGGACTTCTCTGAAACGACATTTTCTGAGAAAATTATTATAAAGACAAGACTATCTGTGAACTTTTTTAATTTCAAAGAGATTAAATCCATCGTTAAGGATACTATTAGCATTACATGTACTGTAAAAATGTGTCATTTTAAGATGATTCCTCCCCCACACTTCCTCCCCCTCATTCGTTATGGCAAATATTTGGCCAAGAGCAAGTTAAATGGCCTCAACTGGAAAACAATCACAAGTAACGAATCCATATGACCACGGGAAACAAGTGACCTTTATTTCAAAAGCATATTTACCTTACCAATGAGATAAAGTGCACATACTCTCAGAGCACTTATTCCTCCTCACTGGAGGACAGCTTTTAGTAGCAGAAGCATACAACTTCTGTACTACTTTCCTATACCGTGTATGGGTCCTTAAAAAGATACAATACTTGCCTCTTCAAGAAGACGTGTAACAGCATCTATGTCATTGTATGTTTTAGTCATCTGGCCCACTCTTTCAGCACATAAAACTGCAAGGAAATAAAAGAAAACATTATTCATACTGGCAATACTATTAGGGGGAAAATACCCTTTTAAGAGTTTAGGTTTGCATCAGCTTTCATCTTAAAACTACTTATGTCAACTTTGGGGCAAGAATAACAAAAACTAAAAATAAAAACCACAGAAAACAATCAAAGCTTCAAGTTAAACTGAGAATACAAGTTAAACTGAGAATATATGTATTTTGTAATGAGTATTCGCTTTTGCAGTGGCAGAACAATCCATTAAAATATTAAAACTTTGTTCTCTGAAGAGATTAATAAAAAAAGTAACCAGGAAGTGAAAACAGATATTCCTAGATACATAATTAGGATCCTGTCACGTCACATAGTCATTGCGTTACGTGCAGCAGAATTCATTAATGAATAAGCAATTCCAATACTGTTAGTAAACCTGTTGAGCATAAAGATATTATGTCATACAAAGTTGATAAGAAGTAGGTTCTACGGTATGAGACAGCAAAGTAAACACAAACCACATGCAAAATAGTAAACGATTCTTACAATACCCAGAGCACACCTCAGTGGCCATGGCATCACCCATAAAAATATTTACTTGGACTGGATGAGACGCTTAATCACCAAGGTGGACCCAGGAGTTTTGTTAGACTGAAGAACATATTCAGAGCTTTAGACTACGCCCATGGGTGATCCTTTAAGAAGCTACACTGGCTTATCTGGAAGTGCATGAGTTTTCTAAAAACCCACCAATAACCAGAAGAAAACGGCAGCACTTCCTGCTCTAGTCTGATATTCTTTTTATTTTCAGCTACATCTACTCCTCAAATCCTGTAATTCTGAGCAAAAAGGGATTGTTAATGAAGTTGAGTTAATCGTATGGACTTTGAGTTATGGGGCTGCTGTAGCACAAATGGTTTTTCAGGAGCTTTACCCTCGACCACACCAGTTGAAGCTCAGTCTGGAAGATAAGCTAACATTGCTCTGGCACGCATTTACGTGGGGGGCAGGGGGAGAGGCAGATAAGGCCTAATAAGATTTAAATGAAGAAAAAAAAAATTTACTTATTGAGTACAGTTACATTACTGAGAGACAGTCTATCACACTAGGAAAGCAACACTGCCTAATTTATAAATATACACTCTACACATATATAAATATACAGTTGTTCACCACACCAATAATACATCAAATGCAGCAGTACTTTGGCATCTATTAAAATGATGGAGGATTTTTTCCATATTTAAAACATCAGAAAGCTGCTTAACTACAGCAAGAAGTACCATTTGCTTCTGTTTATTTTCACGATTCTCAAATTCTATTTTTGAGGATCAAATCCTGAAAACACATGTACAACATTTAGTGACATGAGTAGGGCCAGTGAAATCCAAAGAACGTCATTCCAAATTAGTCTAAAGATAATTACATTTACCCAAATAATTAAGTCTGGAAGTGGTAATAGTAAAAAGTCTATGCTTTGAAGAAATAGTTTGACAAACATATGACAATATAAAGAATAGCTATATCACTGCACAAGCAAAAATACAGTGCATCTGTCAACTACAAACTACATTAACTAAAAGCATACTGATCAGGATTCCATTTTAAAACAAAAAAAAAAGTCACATGCAGAGAACAGCAGCTATAATAAACTCAGGAGTTAAAGAGAAACTTTCCAGAAAAACTTTGCAGGTAGTGTCATGGCCAGGAGTCGCAATTAAAAAAGAAAAAGAAATGACAAATAACATTGCCATAAATCACATTTTTTTCAAGCTTAGTAAGCTCAGAACCCATGCCATATAACACCTATCAACCACAAAACCCTGATGCCAGCGGGTTATTTTCCAAAACAACTTCATATCAAATAGTTCCCTCGGTTATAACATGCCCCCACTACTATAAGATAATGTTTGACGTTGTCATTAGCCAGATCATTTTAACTCTGTACCTAGCGCTGATACATCAACACCGATTATAACCATGGCAACCTCGTGCCATCCGAAATGCAGGTGAAGGTACAAACCTTCCCAAGGCCCTGGCGGATCAAAGGACCGCGCTCCCGCGGACCCAATAAAGTCACTCGGCAGGGAGAGCGGGCAGGGCTGTTCCTTCAGAACTCCCCAGACAGCAAAAAAACATGTGGCTGATTGTTACCAGGAAGACAAAACAAGAGCAAATGGAGGACAATGTCCTGTGATGCAAAACCTCCAGTGCCAACTTACTGACCTCTTTCTGCTCATTTGCAAATCGGGAGTATTTTTGCTCGAGGGTGACAGTGTGCACGCATGAATGCAAGAATGCGTGCAAACATCCAAATCAAATGCACTGTGCACCTCCTGGTTTATGGAGAAGATTGTTAGAAAACAAATAAATGAATAAAAAATAATAATTTAAAAGTTTACAGCAAGTAGAAGGACCACAGAATTCCAGAAACAGTCACTCAAAAAATGTGTTTGTGTAACTGGTCACCACCCACCAAATGAGATTCAGGTGAAAGGAAAAAAAAAAAGAAAATCAAATAAAATCCCAGGAGCCAGCAGCCACTGGTGTCCTCAGCTCCTGCTCACCTCCTCATTTTTGAGACCTATCAAACGGGGACAAGCTGAAGAACTAAGAGAGCAGCCAGGGATGAAGAGGGAAGTCCAGCTCCCTCTTCTTCCCATCTATTCTCAACTTCTGGGAAACAGAAAGGAGACAAGATGTTACCTTAAAGTTCCATTTTTGGGGGCAGATAATACCAACCTATGTCATTACAGGGTCTAACAGGGAAGGCCCCAGTGCATGGGAATTTCCTTGCTACCAAAATTTATTTCCTCAGAAACTACATCAGGATAAGGGAATACCAGTCATGGAACGCAGATATCGGGCAATTTTATACTGATACTTCTCGGTGGCGAGGTGGCAGCAGGGCACGGTGCTGGTTTTCCTAACAGGCACCTACCCCAAGCTTCTAACTATGGCAACCCCTTCATGGCAACCCCGTTGTGGCAACACCATCGTGGCAACCTTCTTCGTCAGTCCTGAGAAACCCTGCCTCAGAAATAGCTTCTGTCTGCCTCCCATCTGCTCAGAGCTCTGCCTGAACACTGAGGGGGAAAAAAAAATCCCAGGTTCAGTTCTAGTGCCATTGATATTTATGCTCTGGCAGCGGTTCCTGCGAGCCCTGCATCGACTCGAGGAATTCTGCAACTGAGCCACGTTATGCACATTACCAAACTCGTGAAAGCTGTAGCTAAAATGTGCCATCAGCTCTGTTCCTGACCCAGACTGGAAAGATTTAACACATTTAAAGATAAACGTGGTAGCTTCTCCTCTGCTAAAGAGGAGGTTTTGCCCTGACTAAACTGGGGCAGAGTCTTCAAGTCTACAGTTGCCTGTCGCTTCTGAGCTGGCCCTAAGAGGACACATTCATCTAAAGAGCTTAAAAATTTTAAGAGGCTACTGTCACCGGAGCTTGAAGAAATGTGCCGCTGACGCACCACTTGCCACAGGTCCCAGTTTTAACCCAAGGAACCTCGCATCCTTCAGGTCTCCTGGGGAGAGAGCTCTGTGGAGGAGTCTGGAAGAATGTCATGTTGTGAGCGACACATCCTGAGACAGCAAGTACATATCAGCACAGTGAAAAATAACTACCACAAGCTCAACAGACAATGCCAATAGATTATTTTTTTGATGTTACAGCCTAGCTTACCATGATTTCAACAGCATAGTTTGCAAAGGAATCTTTTGATATAAGGTGCAGTTACTGATTCTTCTAGAAGAAGAGATCTTATCTTGCCATCTAAGCTCTTCTTTGAAGGGTGTTTTTTCACTGCCATTTCTCTTGTGCAGTACTGAAATTACTTAGAAAATCCAATGTTCAAGCCTCACATGTAAACCTTCTGTAACTAGCTAATCCCAGGGTTGGTAAAAAACTTTGCTGCTATTATTCCTTTTCCAAAGCTTACACCTAACCACTCCAGTAGGTAACATTCCAAAGCATTTCCTCTAAGGAGGGCAAGAACTGCGTTGGATTCTCTTGTGATGAATGGAGATTTAAGTAAAAGGGAATTTCAACACCATCACCTTCCTTCTATTAGCATAAGCCCAGAGCAAATGTGGTAACTTGGAAAACACAGTGATAAAGTGAAACTAAGGAGATAAGAAAAAGCACCTGAAGAGAGCTCACCACCACCTTAATGCACACACCACTGACCGACACAGCTCAGCATAGCTCTTCTGTGAGATGTCAAACTTTTCCTGCAGGATTTTTTATTACTAGCCCCTGAATTACTGTCTTGACATTCTCCTCCATCGACTTCTTGTCAAGAATCTGGACTGCAGTCCTTGGTCTAGGAAAAGGGTGTAAGGCTTAAACCAGGATCTGGATAAGCCTTTCATAAATCCTGAAGTGAAGTTACAAGCCTGTATCAAAAGTCACGCTCTGTCAGCTGTCTCCCTTTCTTAAATACGTGATCTCGTCCGATTCCAACTCCTGTGGAGGGACTGGCAGTGCCAAAGGTTTCCAGAATTGCTGGTCTCCATTTTCTTTGCCTTCGGTGTTTAAAGAATGCAGAGTCTTGGACAGCCTCTATGCTAGTCAATGTCTTTGTAAGGTAAAACAAATTTTCTGAAAGTCAGATCCCTGGAGTGCCTGAACTTGAGATTTTAACAGTGATCACAAGACTTCTTTTTTTTTTTTTTTTTTTATTAAACTTGAGCTAGATTCCAAGCCTACATTTACCCAGTACTTCAGATAAGGAGAATTTTTAATCTGTTACACTAGTACATTGAAATAGTAATGACTGGCTGCCATCACAGGACCTAAGCAGGTAATGGTCTCTTCCTGTCCCAGCTGCTAAAGCAAGAATCAGAGCACAGCCCAGTTTCAGATTTAGCTTAGTCAACAAACCAGTAACCAAAGCAAACTGCCAGGCTGTCCCTTCACAGCTCAGGTTCTTTTATCAACAACTGAGCACACACTCCCAACAGATATCTCTGCCCAAAGTTTCACTGCCCTCAGCTTATCAAATTAAGAGCAAA